AAAGCATGTCTACCTCCAATTTATTGCAAATCAATCCACTAACTAAGAATGAGTCTTTCACGCACATGCAATATCGTCCATTCACTCATTAAACATGAGTAGAATTTGCGAGTCAGCAAATGGGTTATGCGAATGAACAGTTAATGGCAAAATATGAAGCTACCCGAGGTAGTAAAGCATTTAAAATGTTACACGTTAAATCACGATTTGGGCCAAATGACTAAGTGCTGAGCAAGCATTGTAAATTAGATGATTGGTAAGAGATCCTTTAAAGGCCTACTTTCTTCCTTTTATTTGGCATTCACTCATTCTTCTCAGATTTGTTCCTTTTCTTCATTCCTGACGTGAGTCATACTAGCATAAACATTTAAGGCCAAGGCATTCATTGCAGATTCACTCATACAATAATTAATTTTTTAAACCGTTCACTTGATTATCCATCCATCTAACCATTAAGCGGTCTATATCTCCTCTCGTTACACCAATGCATCAAACCAGTTTCCATCATTGCAGCAAGAGTGTGCTCTTCGATCAAGGAATATAATGAATTTGGAAGTAGCTCGTTAACCAACAATAGGATATTTCTTTGATAGGTGAAAATAAGGTAAATGAGAAAGAGGAAAGCGGATGATTAGTCAAAGCCAAGTGAATGCTCACATGCTTCCTCATGAATGAAATGAGAAGTTGGAATCCATAATATCACAATCGACCTCCTACTTCTACTTTGCTGCATGGCCTAGAGTCAGTGTGTGCGCGTGCCTAGCTTGATAGGAGTAGCAGCTGAATGACCAAGCCATGCCTGTGGTATTAACTTCGGTCTGCATGCAATAATGCCTTAATTTACCTCTGTGTAATTGGTTTCTACCTCACCTACTCATGCAGCAGTAACTTCTAAGCAAGTGCATTATCAATGGCACATGCAATGCTAATCACAATTACGATCATTTCTATTTTTCTGAATTCATTTGAGAAAAGGTGATATACGGTAGCAGCCTACTATACAGTGAAATCGTGGTTTTAAAATAAACAGTTAGTCAAATAATGGATATACTGGGACTGCGCGGCACTGAAAATAAACCAGTCAAAGTAGGAAAAAGTGCAGGGCATTTAATGCATGGGTGGCAAATGTTGCGATTGAAGTGACGAAAAACTGTCAATTAGTGCCAATTTCTATGGGACTAGTTGACCTCTCAACCACTCCCAGTTGGCAAAATGAATCTAATCAGAATTTTGCCTCAAACAGAAAAAAATTTTGCAAGAAAAATATTGTAAAGTGGATTTCCCTTGCCACAAGCCCTTTTTAGTTTGATATGTCTGGTTGAAAAGTGAAGACCAGATCGTAAGTCAAGTGCACAAGGCCTTTGCTTAGGTACTAATTCAGAACTGAAAAAGACTTTGGCAGGAAATATTTCTGTGCATATGCTTATGCATGTCAACTTTAAAATGATATCAAATTACAGGGAATGCTATGTCAGTTACGGTTTGACTTTATGACGTATCATTTTTCAACGATTGAACCCCATAAATGACAAATACTCAGGGTATGCATCCAGAAATTTCTAGAATGACCACAGTTGTTAGATACGGTGGTGCCATAGGCACGAGAATTCCTACTTGGCAAAACTCGATAGACGACCGCACTTGATCGCTAATGCCTACTTTTGCAATCAGGTATTCTAGGTTGAAAAAAGTAAGTTTAGATCGTGTTTGCAAGAGGTCGGTGCTTCAGAATTTTCCCTGTGGAGGTGGTATCCATTTAAAATGTGGCCGCGTATGAAATAGTGTATCTCTAAAACTAAATGGAATCTAAGGGACACAAAAATGAGGGGATAATTTGTCAGTAAGTGGAGATTGCTCTATGTCTTCATAATTAGCAATCACATGGCGATGCTTGAATGAATTTTGTGAGAATACAGTGTTATCAAGTGCTCGAAAGGATGTTAATTAATCGTCCTTAAACGACTGTATCATGGCAGCCAAGGTATGGAATCGTGTCACAAGCATCTCTTTTCCCCTACCTTAATATAAGAACCTCTGCCAGGCAGATCGATGTCTATTATGAAATGTAATCCATTTGAGTAAAGCATTTCCTGTAGAAAAAGATGAAGGATAGTAAGGTAATAATGACACTCTTAAATGTATGATCACATCTGGAATAGAATGAATGAAGTGCCATGCGCACCTCAGCTGAAGTAGTGTATGAAGACCAAAAGGACTACAGTTTGTGTCAAATAACACCGTTTGCTTAAATGCAGCGGTTGATATTGTGGAACAGGTTATTTTGATATTGCATCCCGCCTGGACCAGAGGTTAGGATAGCCATAGGCACTCAGCCGTGCATCCATTACTCTACATCTTGATAAATATAATTAGTTAATTTCGTTTTCAAACAAACGACACAACGAAATAAGTTAACAAGATGTAGCATCTTGACCATTGCGAAAGTAAATAATGTGTAATGAAAAGTTACCAAATACTTTTTCTTCAGAATTCCATTTTGCAAAACAAGAATGAGGCAAATTTTACCACTTTTCACTCAGCAATAAAACTACCACATAAAATGTCACCTATCACATCCACCATTAAAATTACACACGCAGAGGATATTTTGACTTTCCCAACTGGCGATTGCCTCAGTTGGCAAAGCTGGGAATGAGTTGAAATTCCACAGCTTATCCGAATGAATCACTACGTTCTCTAGTGATAAATTAGCCGGTTGAGCTTACAAATGTTAGAGATATTCTTATAACTTTTTCTGTTTAGTGAATTTTTGACCATCTCTTTTACCAACATAAAAATTCCAGCTTACGAGTGGTGTGATTAAAGAGGCAGCAGTTATTTGAAAGCAAATGCCTAATCACCTCACTGCTTGCCTATAATGCCCGGTTGCCCGGAGTTCTTTCATGCAGTTTATATTTCTTGCAATTATTTTCGATTTATATTTTCTTAATTCTGCAGATACTTTAATGGTTACGACGAAATCATTCTCGTTCTCCATTTTCAATCAGTGCTTTCATTGACTCTCATCCATAACGAACTTTACCGATGTGTTGAGTTATCTTATACGAGAGGGCGCAAACAATCAACTACATTCTACTCCACGGCAATTGAGGTAATGAACAAATTAGGCAGCCTGAACGATAGCTGTTAGCAAACAGCGGTTATTTTACTTTCAGTGTTTACTTTGGCAGCAAGAAATAAGTAAGCAAAGTATGGCAACGGCAGGAAACTATTGTATGTCTGGTAAGTAAGCTGAGTAGATAATTAAACATCATTTAAGATCGCAAAAAATCTGCACAGTTGGTGTCTTAGTGCTTTATATCAGTGAGTTAAAGTGGTATGCTAATTTTGTGATAGGAGGATTTTTAATTACCTAAATTTAGTAAAGCTGATTGGAATCGAAATTGGCGCTAATTAACACTATCTTAAAGGCTCTACATCGGGCTCTGATTTCAATTAATACGACTATACTTCAAAACAAACAAGGTTGATTGAATGATCCCAAGCAAAATAATCTTAGTCTTGATATTTGGCCCAATATCGTGGAGTGAGATAAAAGTCTTGTTGACCCAAACAAAAAATTTAAAGATTATACTGATTTGTCATCGTTGAGAAACACGTAGTGCAGAAGGGAATCGCCATTTTATATTGGCGTACAATAGGATGTCCAGGTAATAATTGCTGAAAATCAGGCATGTTTCTTCGCCTACCGTTCTCGATCTTGTTGTTGCGAATTCGAGGCTGGTTGTCGTTTCTGATGCGTTGCCCACTGAATTTCGGTCTTCTTAAATCCATGTGATTAAATAGTTTGCGGTAGTAGGATCATCGATAAACTAGTCGGATCTTAAGTAAAATAAATTAAACCATTTTGAAGCCCCTTATTGTTTAGTTATGCAGAAATTTTAATGAATATTTAATTAGAGTACTGTTTGCTGTTTAGGCCAACTTCTCCTAACTTTTTGGGATCTGGTAGCATTTGCCGCAATTTCTGCTGATCCAAATAGACCATTTGCTCCCTTTCTATTCTCCTATCCTTTTAAACATCCATCTTACAGATTTTTCATCTTTTCTAAGACATCATCGATTTCAAAGCAGTTTTTGGGGAAAAGTTTTATGGTAGGTAATATTTTTGTGTGCTTTAAACACTATTATCATGATCTGTGGGTGGCGATAGACCATTTGATCAACTGGGTAAATATTGTTGTGTTTTCAGAATACGTCTAGTCAGGTAGCTTGTACTGAGTCATTCGGATTTTAGAAGTCTTCTAGTTGCCTTGAGGATATTTTACTGCCCATTTGTCCTGCTACGGTGTCGATAGCTGGAATGCCACGCACAGCATAACCCCTGCATATCAGGTTGTTGTAAATGAGGACACGGGCAACTCTTGCACGGGTTTCATTTTCTTTCATTACTGGACTCGTAGATTAGTTCTGCTATTACTTATTCAATCCTTGTGACTATAATAACCGCTTACAGCATCAAATATCTCTGCCGCCAACGTTGGATTGTGAACAGGTATTCAAAATCAGTGGTAATGTGTGTTTACAACTTGCTACGTCGCAACTTTGTGGATGCTATCGTCTCATACGCGTATGTAGGCAATAATGCATTCAAGCCCATGGGACAAATGCAATAAACCAAGGTCTTTAATTGAGACACGAATGTCCAACTTCTGCAATCTATTCATAAACATTAACGCAGACACACTGAATAACCGGGGCTTGCAATGCATTACCATCCGCATCGTGGCCTATTGTAAGAGGAC